ATGGTTACCACGTCTTTTTGTGGCATTTGAGATCCACTCTCTTTAGCAGCCTGCAGATACCTATTCCAGTATTAGCACTACAATCGCCACGCTGTGCGCGAGACCCCCGCGCTTGTTAATGGTGTAACTGGGAGTGTGTGCCTTTTTTTTTTTTTAATCATCAACCGAGGATATTTTTTCCATTGCTTTTCAGAGAGAGTGGAACAGAGGGAGGGAGAGAGACGCTGATGAGAGACACATCGGTGGGGTGCCTCCCGCATGTACCCCAGCCGGGGTGTGGGGTTGAGCCTTTGGGCAGATTCGAACCCGGGACCCTTCCGTGCGCAGGCCGACGCTCTAGCCGCTGAGTCACACCGGCCAGGGCCTGGAAGTCTGTTCCTTTGGACAAACATCTTCCCATTTCCCCCCACACCCTGGGAGCCACCGCTCTCCTCTGTTTCTCTGAAAATCTGAAAAGGTTTAATTTCCTGCCCGACCTCACCGGGCAGGACAGCCGATCACAGCGACGGCGCCCGCCCCGGGCTCACCCTCGGCTCCGTCCAGCCGAGGCCCCGGGCGCTGCGGCCTCTCCGCTCCGGGTCGTTGGGCGGGAGGACCCCACAGGCCACCCTCTGGACCNTCCCGCCAGCTCGGCTCTCTGCTGCCCCCACGTGGCCACTGCGCCAACCTGCCCCGCAGCTTCCGAAAAAATGTGAAATTGCTTTTGGACTGTTTTTGACCTGCACAGACGGCAATTTTTAAATGCCATTGATTAGAAGTGCCTTTGACTAGGAGCTCAGGGGCAAAAAGGAGTAAGGGCAAAGGAGCTCAGGGGCAAAAAGGAGTAAGGGCCGTGTGTCTAAGCACAGGCCCAAGGCGCACCTGCAGCGCGTGCCCGGGGAGGGCTCACGGTGGCAGCAGCTTTCGGTGGGCAGCCCTCGTGTGGCCACGGCAACTGGCTGCCCGTGGGCGTGACCGGGAGCAGCAGGGAAGCACCTGCCGGCCGCGGAGGACCGGGGAGCCCGAGGGGCGAGGGGGGCTCAGGGCGGCGGGCGGCAGGGCCAGCCCTGGGCGAGGCGGGCGAGGCGGCCTCTGCCATCGCCAAGCAGCCGGCTCCCGTGGGGAGGGGTCTCTCTCCTGGGGGGCAGGTGTGCGAGGACGTCCGACACCAGGGGGTGCCCCGGGCCCAGCACAGGGCAGAACCAGGGAGGGCTCCCGGTGGGCAGCGGGCAGGTCCCGCAGGACGACTCCAAAGAGGGGAACGAACAGGGACAGTCAGTAGGGGCGGCTCTGGGGGCGTCGCTTGTAGGTTCTCAGCTCGCTGAGCCTCCGCATCGCGAGAGGCCGCAGCTACCGCGAGAATTGGGAAGTATCGCGAGAGTTGGGAAGTATCGCGAGAGGCCGTCGCTATCAGAGGCCATCGCTACCGCGAGAGTTGGGAAGTATCGCGAGAGGCCATCGCTACCGCGAGAGTTGGGAAGTATCGCGAGAGGCCATCGCTACCGCGAGAGTTGGGAAGTATCGCGAGAGGCCATCGCTACCGCGAGAGTTGGGAAGTATCGCGAGAGGCCATCGCTACCGCGAGAGTTGGGAAGTATCGCGAGAGGCCATCGCTACCGCGAGAGTTGGGAAGTATCGCGAGAGTTGGGAAGTATCGTGAGAGGCAGCCGCTACCGCGAGAGTTGGGAAGTATCGCGAGGCCGTTGCTATCGTGAGAGTTGGGAAGTATCGCGAGAGGCTGTTGCTACCACGAGAGTTGGGCAGTATCACGAGAGGCCGAGTGTATCGCGAGAGTTGGGCACCGAGGCCCCGCCTCCTCTAGGTCACAGGCGGAGCTGGTCTCTGGACGCTTTTCCAGGTGGGAAGGGCTCAGGGTCCTGCCTAGAGGTCAGGAAGCAGCCAGGGCCGGCGCCTCCCCGGGGGCCCTGGCACAGCTCCACGCTGGTGCATCTGCGGCCCCGGGGCCTTCCTCAGTGTCTCGCCTGGGACCTGCCGTTTGCAGGGTCCTGGGGAGAAGCAGCCGAGACAGCAGGGAGAAGCGGCAGCGATGGGTGGTGGTATTGCTGGTGTCGCCCGGAGGGGCCCAGAGGGGAGGGAGGGTGAGCCCAGGGGGGTGAGCCCAGGGGGGTGAGGCCCTGCAGCAGGCAGGGGCTCTTGGGGTCCCCGCTGCGTTCGCGCCCCAGGCCAGGCTCAGCCCCTCTCCTTCCCTGGGCTCCCCAGGAGTTCAGTTCCCCGTCTTTATTATTTTTGCGACATCCTAAAACCATGGCTTGTCCCCAAGCAGTTGGGCTAAAACGCAAATCGCTCCACTGCCTCCCGTAACCCAAAGTGATGCTCCTGGCGGGCTTAGCGGTCGGGCCTGCTTCCCCGGGTTCAAGGTTTTATCCACAGTCATTAATCCCACGGAAGCCGGTATTAAGGGGCATTAGCCTGCCAGCTGCCGCCCCACGTCCTGGGCCATTACTCGGATTACCTGGGACGGCGCCCTCAGCCTGGTCCCCGGCCGCCCGCAGCTCCGGGACCCCGCTGCCCGCCTGGCCTGGGCGCCCTTCCTCCCGGCCCGCACCCCTGGTCCCTTCCTGCGACCTCCCAGCTGGAGGCTCCTCCATCCCCCCAGGAGGTCGGCGCCCTTTCCCACGGCCCCGCGTGGGAACTCCAGTGACCGCCGGGCACTGTCCACCCAGGGCTGACAGCAGGCCCACTGGGTTCCAGGAGCAGGCAGGAGCCTTAGCCAACCCGGAGGGCGGCCAGGGGACTCCATGTCCCTCTCGTTTGGGGCTCAGCCTGCCCTGGGGCTGATGTTTTCAGGGTGTTCGGCTTTGGAGGGTCCCCCTCTCGATTCATCAGAGATTTCCACTCAAACCTGTGTCCCCTCGGCCTCGCTCTCAGGCGGACTGAACAATGCCACCCAATGTTTTGAGCCTCCCAGCCAGAGTCCTCCCTGTGCCACCTTCTGCCTGGCATAGTCGCCCTGCCGCAGCCTGGGGGTGGCCAGCCCAGGGCGGCTCAGCATCTCCGCACAGCGGCTCCCACCGAGCAATTGGGCCCCAAGGGGCATCTAGGGCTGCACTGAGGACACAGCAGCGCGGGCGCTCCGGCCAGCGGTGCCCGCGGATGGCGACCGCCCT